GCTATAAATACAATCATTGAACATTCCTTGCACAGTAACAGAACACACTTCAAAACCTGCGTTCCAGATGTAATGAAGCTCAGAAAGGTCACCCATCAGCCCAAATTGTCATTCCTACGAGTCCTGACATTGACAATTCTACAACATCCAGATAGTTACAGTGACAAGGTGACCAGTTACAGCACTTAAAACTTTCATTCTGCAAGAACACTATCTTAGCCAAGAATGCAAAATTTTGAGATCTTTATTAGGGAACAACCTAATAGAGAAAACTAGGCAAGCCCTAGCAAGTGTGCAGTCTTCCTAACCCTGCTGCTCATCTATTTGATCAAATCAGTTAATTAGGCTTACTCGTCCTGCTTATTAAAACGCATTCCAGTTATAGTGCAAGCTGAAGTAGGCTTTGAGATATGGCAGACTTCCTTTTAGGCAGAAACATTGGTAAAGGACAATTGCTAGTTAGAGAGCAGCTTAAAATCATTCATGAAGACAAACTCCAAATAAGCATATCCTCGGAAGAAAAGGGAGAACGAGTAGGAGCCTTCCTAGTTGTTCCAGGAGAAATCCAGGATGCATACAGTTGTTTTTGTTATGAATTTCAGTGCTGCTTCTACAGCTTGAAAACAAACTAGTCACCTGGGAAATGGACATTTTCTCTGCTTCTCCATCATACTACCACTTCTGGGCCTTTCACTGCCTTCTTTGCATTGATTCTGGATTTCCAAGAGGGTGTCTTTCAGCAATTGCCATGACATCCACCTTTTAGCTGTACCTTGTACTTAATGTTCTCATCAGGAGAACAAGATGAAGGTAGTTTCTATGGGAAATGTGGAGTAGTTACATTGGCTAGGGCTGACATCTGGACAATAACTAGCAAAGACAGTAAAGGGCTCAGCTTTATTCTGATACAAATTCTAAGTGTTATCAAAAATACATATACACATCATACTATAGATGCCATAAATTAACACAGTAGCAGCAAAAGATCATAAACAAATATTTTAGGAAACAATAATGACATTAATTGAAATGGAAGATTTAATGCAGTAGTAATTTTCAAGACCTACACAGCTCTTCACGGGATTACAAAAAACTTCCTACACAAAAATAGCAGCCTCGTCTAGGCAGCAAAAAGCTATGACTTTTTTTTTATAGGCTTATGGCAGCTTTGGCAAAGAAATATTTTGACCAGAAGTTTTCAGCATGGATTTTTTTAAATTAATTAATTATTTAAATCCTCACTTTATAAAAATATTCTTGAAGAGACAATAGTCTTTTATTTAAATATTAGCAATAACTCCAGTAAACAAATACATTGACTCAGTAATTGTAAGTTTAGAATCCTGTCATTGCAGTCAACACCATCAGGATTATAAGAACATGTTAATAGAAGGGGCAAGTAATTAATTTTAATGTTTCTATTAACAATGAATGTATAATGTAAGAAATGCTAATCTAACAATGAGATTCCTGCGTACTCAGCAGGCATTCTAAATGCAAAACAGAACATTTATTTATTCAGTAAATTTATCAAATTATCTTCTCATCTAAGATAGTCCTCTAGGCTTGTCTCCAATTAGCAAGAAGATACAGGGATCTTAATTTCACTTAATTTAAACATTTGTTTTATGAACACTATTGATCACCTCTTTTCATCATCTAGGAAGTTCAAGACAGATAACTAAAATCAGATAGCATTAATCTCACCACCAAATGAATTCTGAAGAGTATTACAATTACAAAGAACAAAGAAAATAAGGGTAAAAAAGAGATTCAAATTATAAAGATTAATGGATAGAATAAGAAGTCTCACAAAATGTATACATGGCTTGCAGCTGACTGGAAAGAAAAGCATTAAACAGGTAAACACAAAGAGAGCTTTTTGCACACCTTCTTTAACCTATGAAGCATAGACAATTGCTATCAAGAAATGTCATCAAGGAATGTCAATTATTTTTATTCTGGTTTGCTTTTTATTTGAGAAAGGAACAAAGGAACCATTTCAGTTTGATGTTACACTTTATATGACACTAGGAAAAAAAAAAACCCAACATAATAGGAAACCAGGATGCATTTGTTCTGCCTTTCAGTACTGGCTCTTTTGCTGTTTTGTTGGGTTGAGGGTTTTTTTGGCAAGAAATGAGTAATAGATTAACAGTCAATAGTTTGAAAACAAAACACTCCAGGAATACTCAAGGAAGGAAACGTAGGTACATATTTAGCATCTACACTTCACTGTGTAGTAGATGATGGAGCTATTACAGAACTGTTCTCCTCATTTAACCCTGGGATACTTTCAATTGAGATAATAATGATTTAAAATTAGACAAAAGTTTTAGTCACATTACCAGCAGTTTAAAACAAAATGAAAATGTTTCCATCTGGTGAATTTTTTTAGAACATGTGACATTGACCACAGTTTAATCTAAAATATCAGATCAGTTCAGGTCTTTTCATTGTCACAGGTAAATGAAACAAGGATTCTCACACAGAATTTAGAGAGAGCAACATAGCTTACATCCTGACAGTTACCTACTTTGAGGCTGAAACAGGAGATTCTTTCTCAATATAATTTTTCATGACTATTATTGCTTCAGTGTTTTCTTGGCATTTGTAAACAGCTGTTTACAAAAAGCCATCACAAACATCAGTAAGAAAAATGAAAATAACTGCACTTGACTAGAAAATTGGGCATTAGTTACACTTCTGATCACAAGATTTGCCAGGGGCTTTATTTAACCACCATTCAGGCCAGTCAACATTCCACATACTTCTGAAGCTTTCAAACATGTTTGTTTATACAGATTATGATACCAGTGGTAACTACGATGAGTCACCTTGTTTTCACTAAAGTAGAACAAGCTGTTACAATCTCTTAAATACAGAACTGGACAACACAGGTATTCCTTTTTTATCTTAGGGGGTTCTGGTGATATTAGAAAATGTCTTTGTTCCACAGAACTGTCACATGTCAGACCACAGTAAAGTCAGAATTTGGGGTCTTCTAAGACATTTAAGGCATTTATTCCATTCTCACCATGTCAGTAGTTTGCTACTTTGCAGTTCATTCAGGTTGATTATTTGGAAGACTGAAAAAGTCAGTCTTGACACCTGTACTGTGGTTAGAAGGGAGGTAGTTTCAAAGAGAGACACCTGCATATTAAAGCAGGGAAGTATGGATTTTTCCATTTTCCCAAGACAAAAAAATTCTCTGAAAAGCATAATCTTTGAACTCCAAAACCCAGTATTAACCAACTTATTAACTTATTTAAATCGAGTAAAGGAGAATTTTACTTAACTGGAGAGCTTATCACTAGAAAAAGCTACAGGAGGACGGAAGCATGAGCGTATGAAATAAGATGACAACAAATGGTATATTTCTTTCTTTTTTTCCCCCATCTAAAGCTTGCATTTTAAGATCTTCTTCCCATGTTTCTGACTGCAGTGGAACTTCCCTCCTCAAAAAAGCAACAATACAAAAAAATGACTCATTATATGAGTGGGAATACACCAGAAAGGTATTTTCTCCATGGTTCTTAAGTTTAAAAATAAACATTATAAGAATTATAAAAGTTGCTATTTTCATTAAAACCAAGAAAGTGTGCATACTCAAATGATCGTATTCCAGACCTACTTTCCAGAAGAGGTCCCACTCAAATATGAACTCCCCACATATCATTGTCTTTTTCACAGTGAAAGGTAGGAGTCTGAGAGAAACACACAGTTCGCTCACATTAGCATCTTATTTTGACTTAGGAGATCAGTTTTGAACCAAGCTTCCTTATTGTTCCCAGCCTTGATTTCCACATTCTGATTTGCACTGTGGAGCCATCACCTCAGAGCTTCTTATCTGACTTCCACGATCACCTACAGTGATCACCTACAATGCACTGTACCCACTAAAGGGCATTCAGTACCCTTGGGCCCATTCAGCCTGAACTAGAATTAATCTGAAATCCAATCCCTGAAACTCAGTTTAGATATCAAGTGCTCCGACCCATCTCACTTACTCCAGAACTACCCTTATTGCTTCACATCACTCGTTAGCACTTGATTTTTTTCAGTCCTTTGTGGCTATTCTGGGACAATGCTATTTTGTTAGTAATGTCACTGCTGCAGCTTAGGAGTTAAACATAAAAATTAGAAGCTTCACTTCATTTGTGCCTATGCTTAACTAACAATATTTTAACAGATCACTACTTAATTAAAAACAATTCCAAGCAAGAAGAGTTCAAATCAAGTACTTTGAGTAGATAATCAGGTGCCACATTTGGTTAACAAACTGACCTTTTAATGTTAGGAAAAAAAAAAAGAATCAAGTCCAAAATTAAGGACACATGCCAAATTTACCCTGAAAAGCTTTGGTTACTGTCCATAGCTTTAAAATTACTCTCTAATTTACCATAGCTAATATTCTAAGTTTCAAAAAAGTGAGGACAAGGTGCTGTAGAGCAGGACAGTAAGACTGCTTGTAAACAGGCAGAAAATTGATCACCATTTCCTTCTCCATATGAACAGAACTGTATGTTTGTATAGACATATACAATATTTTATACATGGAATATGAAAGGCTGAGAAGACAAAGCAGTAAGAAAAGCAGCATGTAGCAAGCACAACTGTTCATGACTTTACAAGAACTATTAATTGAAGTAATTGTAAGATAATTTTCTACTTTCAACTAAAGAACAAAAGCAACAAAACAGGTTCAGAGTTCAAATACTGTACTGTACAGTATGAAATCCACATTCTTGCTATGAGATACATAATTATGTTTGATTGTCTTTACAAGATTGTAGGAGAAGAATCAAACTTTCATATTGTTACTCTACTGGTAATAGGAAAAAAAATTACTACTAGAGTAGTTTCATTTAAACAAGATGTTTGTAATTCAATTTATTCTCTACAAGCAGAAAGCCAAAGCAGTCATTCTTCCTATTTAAAACTCCATGATATATAGTTATATCTTTAGATTTTGTATATGTATCTTAAAAGATACTTACTGTTCTAAGAGTTGATCATATTTTCGTAAAGCATCCTTTTCAGCAGTAACTGCTCTTTCTTTTTCAGCGACAGCATTGTCTCTCGCTTCTCTCAAATTTCTGAAGGAACCAAAAGTTAATCTGTTAAGAACCTGCTATGAAAAAGACTGTTTTGCTTCATAAGTTACTACTACCTGATTTTAACTTCACTACCTTCTTCAGTTCTCACAGAATGACAGAGGGGTCTGTCTATCTATCAGTCTATTCGTTAGAGGCTTTACTTCAGATTACTTTCATAGATAGCAGCAAAGTTCCCAGTTCCGAACTTCTAAAACAATAATCAAACCACCTACTCATATGTAGAAACATGAATAACTCTAGAATACCAGGACTATATATTACTTTTTTGGTAGGAATTAAATGAATTCCTATGATTTTGCTTAGTACTGCACTAATAAGTATAGAGGAAAGCTGTCCTCCTAGCTGAGATGATCTGCAGCTTTTATGATCGAGCAGGAAAAGATTAGCAAGGCACAGAAATCCTACTTCTACGTACAACTAATTGGCTAGTTAGTCTGATATACAGGTTATTGCACATCATTGGTGTCTCCTTCTGGCTTCTATTGCTGGCATCATTTTTGATCAGCACGGAACTGTAAAATAAACATCTTATTGTAATCAAGCCATACTTCTGATTTTGTTTTAACCAAGAATCAGTCAAGACTTGCAAACTCTCTCTTATTTCACTGACACGGATGAGAATAGTACCATATAAAGAATAAAACATATCATATTTGTGTTAAAAAATATAGGTATTAATAGTCTGTTAATCTGTAGTTTGCCTGTAGCATAACACTGCAAGAAACCATACTAAGTGAAAGTACTACAGAGACAGTGCTTCTAAGCTGTATCTCCATTATTAGCACAACTCAGTACAGAGAACAAATAGTGGTGGTGAGGACCAGACACCTACAGTATGATAATTTTTGAGGATTTTACTTTGAACTAGTTCTGCTTTGCTCCTGTGACCTGAACACTCACTAGCATTTGGAATATATTATACGATCTCAGAGATTCCTTTCAATTTCATTTCATCTAAAAGGAATCCTGTTCACACACTACGAACATGAACACAACACTGCAAATCCAAGCACAAACTGTGAGGCCAGCAAAAACATGATAAGCAGCAATGACCAGGGGGTTTCACTTCAAAACCACATTCTTCATCTGAGTTAAACTGTTAATGTAGATGTAACCAAGCTTTTCCCACTGAAGTTGTTTCTTCACCTCCTCCCCCACAAGAACTTTTTTACTTAAAGCAAAGTGAAACTAGATTTTCAGGCAAATTTTGAAGAAAAAAGTCAAGATATAAAGGTTAATGTGAAATTATTAAGCCCATGTAAATGTTATCCCAGGTCATTTTAGCCACACTAGAGGTATATAATTTTTGGATGAAATACTACTTTCTAGACTAAAGAGATATTATTAATTGTACTTTTCTGAACTCAACTTAATTCATATAAATAGGAAATAGTTACTTAAGAAGAATCAACATCAGAATTATGTAACAGTTAACTATGAGAGAAAGACAACCAAATTTTCTTTAAAATTTGAGTTACTCGGCTACAGAATTTACTGACAAAAATTCAGGGACTAAGCTTGAAAGCAGATTCTTGAAAACGGACATATCAAAATGCAAGAACATGGTAATTTTGTTAACTGCATTAAGACCAAGCATATTATGTCTCAGAGTAGGAGTGCAATGTTGTATCCTTAAGACCAGAGTAACAGAAGTAGGATAAAAATGAAATGGTAAGAGATGTACAGCAACTCATTTAGACAGTAAACTGTTTTGCTTAGCTGAATAGCAAACCAATTGAAAATGCCACAGAAGGAAAAAGCACACAAGTGAGATCAAGATGACAATCACAGATGTGATATAACTTCTGTTGAAAGATTTTCAACAGAGCTAGGAAACCCACTAGGGATACCGCCAGATTTCAGATTGTGTGACTGCGATTTTAAAAGAAGTAAAGTACCTATCTGATGGCTGCATATAGAGGCCATATAGACCACCAGGTATCTAGCAAGCCTGTCATAAAAATGAAAGGCATAGATTAGCACTCTTTAAAAAGCATCCTTCTAGAATGGGACAGAAGTACTACCTACAGATTCATGAAGAGGTCTGGGGAAGAAAAAAAGGTGGGATGAGGGCAGAAGAGGGAAGCAGAAGCACAAGGGCATCTATATTAGCTTTTGAAATAAACCTCTTGGCAACTATCATTTCTTGCACTTCAGTTCACATCCCTCAACTGTTCTAGAGTGCACAAACTGGATTCCAGTCAAACTGAACCAAGTCAGAAGATGTGCTCAGGGAGAACATCTAACATGCTCAAAACTACTAAATTGTGTTTGATCCATGGGAACAAGCTACAGCTAAACCAAAATCAAACCTCGTGCAGACATCCACATGCCCTGCAAATTCACTCATGCTTGCTAATGCAAACATAACCAATGCTTACTACAACCAAACAAGTGAAACTGATCCCAAATAAATTAAGAATTAAAGCATTAGTGTGTCCCCTGCCCCAGCTCCATTTTAGCTTCTTGAACTGACTCATCCAAATGTAAAATAAGTGCCAATAAATTTAAGGGCCCATGAGGCCTGGCAAAGTGGTAAGGAGTAAGAACAACTGAATATTATATTAGTTTAGCAGTAATACCATTCCATGCTTTGATCTTGAAGATGAAATCAGCATGTCAGCTCTATTTTCAGTCACAATCAGCATCTCATCACATCACACAACTTTACAGTAAACTGCTTTACTCACAATTTGGGGTTCCATTTGTTTCAACAGTGACGGGCAGCACACACTGGGAAGCACAGTCTTATGGTGGAATATTTTAGTATTTTTTAGAAAGAGCATATGCTTTAAATCTTTCTTTTTTTTTTCCAAAATATGAAGTCCAATCTAAGGGATTTACATTTCAGAAGTAATTATCTCAAAATGAGGAACAAAACTTTTGTAAATTTGTTCCAGATACAAATGAAATATATTTCAGTAGCTTTCTCAATGATACACAGACCCTTTTCAAATCTCCACCAACAGTGGAGGTTTAAATTCATACCTAGATTTATATACAGGAAGTGGTGTGGATGTACATGTGTGTGTATATATATATATTTACTCACACTTGCAAAACTGCATAATGATGTAATTTTTTTTAATTAGAACCTTTCAGTTGACTGGAAGGCAGACAGCAGCAGTCATGTTCTTTTTTCACTCTTCCAAGCAGTAACAAAACTGCCTATTAGAGGAACAGATGCTGATACCACAAATATCTTTTTACTACAGTCATTTCCTTCTCCACACAAGACACTTTCAGGACACCTACAATGAAGTTATAATGAATTACCTAGCAATCCTCCCATTTTAAAGGGATAAAAGGGACAAAAAACAAGCTCAAAAAGAAAACCAAAAGTCATAATCCTTAGATCCCTAAAGGCTTATGTATGTGCCTAACTCTGCATGTAACTCCATGGAATTCAACAAGATGACACACATACAAAACTCAATATGCAGGTCTTTGCAGGACTAGGATCCTCTTCAAAAGAAAATTTTATATTAATTTACAGCATTAATTGCAATGCTTTTTTGAAGCATAATGCAGTAAACAACCTCAAATAGATTTTAGAAAGGTGTAAGTCTTATTTGGATTCCCGCATTTTTTTTCTGCTTTACCTTCTGCATCAACACCTTCTCTTCTGGTTTTCTGGCACAGTTTCAAGATTGTCCACTTAGCATGACAGACAAACCAACACATTTTCTGTTACATAAATCTGAACAAAGTTCAAACTGCTAATGTTTATCTAGAACATAAATTTTAATAATACTTTTCACTGACAATGTTGGATGCCCACCATTTAATAACACTATATACTTACTGTACAAGTATAATTTCATTTTAGTTTTTACAAGAATCTCATCGGTTTTATAACTGAAATTAAATGCCCACATTTTGATCACCTCTCAAAGAGCCAGTCAACTAGGATTATGCCTAAGCACAAAAGAGTACTTAGTCATTTTTGCCCTAATTAGGTTATTGCTTGCATCTTATCTACCTGTTTTCACGTTCATACATCTCTTTTGAAGTGCTTCTTAGTTGCTCGATTTCTTGATTTGTTTTCAACCTTATTTGTTCCAACTCTTCATGCAGTCTCTTCTCATATTCTGTTTTATAGTGGTCTCTGTAAATAAACAAATACACAACACAGGAATTTAAAATTAATTGCACTACCTACAATTTCAAAACCTCAGGTATAGCTGTACAAGTACAGCAGAGCACTTCTTGATTTCACATTTTATTTTAATTCTTACTCATTTTCCTCCCAAATTGCTTGGAATACATATTAGCCTATGTTGTGAAGCAAACTGAGTGAAAGTCTACCAGGGATAAATAGTATTACTTGGGAATAAATACAAGCTTTCTGCATACTGCTTTATTTCTTTTAAAGTAACTTAACATTGATTAATCATGCAACATTATACTTAACAATCTTCCAGAAATTCTTTGTCAGCCTCTACATGAGTGTTCATATTAATTAACCACTTAAAAAAATAATTCCTTGTTCCCGACTTTCCAAAATTTTTTAACTTCCTCATCACTGGGTAAGGGTTGATGAACTTGCTAACAATACTGCTGTACTACACCACCTCATATGGGGGGAAAAACATCACAAGAAACATTGAAGACTACATGCTGTGGAGATTTGTGAAGTCAAAAAAAAGAGCCAAGATTTGAGAATTTATCCTGTCAATGCAACATATAAGTTAATTAAAATACAACCTTAAGTTTTTAAGCAGTAGATATCGGAAGATTTCAGGATAAGAGTTTCATTTCAGAGTAATACTGACATCTTTTTGTAACTTTGGAAGCCCGTAACAGATTGTAGGTAATCCCATAATGAATTTGTCCTACAAAAAAGGTTTATGTTGTAAGTACATAACAGCTAAGGAATGTCAAAATTTTATAGCATCTAGTTAATGTTCAAGAATAACCAATCAGCAGTGAAGCAACTAGTAGAAATTACTGGTTTGGAAATAAGAACATATCTATGAAGAAATGTGCATTTACAACCTTAAAAAGGTTTTAGGTTTCTTTCGATTTCCAATTATGTGATAGCCCATAATTTTTAGAAATCAGTATTTGAGCTGGCCAATAACTCCTTCACATGAACTAAAAGCCCTAAAATATTTAAATGTCAGAATGCTTGCTGTCCAGGTTTTCCTGTTCTCTTTTCATTGAGACACTGAATTTCAGCTGACCCTTCAAGGTAAATTTGTTTCCTCTTCTTTCTCAAGTGTGCCACACTACAGCAAAATCTCTGATACAATGCAGAAGTTAATAATGGCATTTAAAAAACAAACAAACAAGAAAAACCCCACTCTGTACTGGAATCTAAGGTCCCCATTAGAATTTTTTTGTGTTCCTTACGCTTTATATGTAGGGCTGGTTTGATGGTTGGACTTGATGATCTTAAAGGTCTTTTCCAACCAAAGCCATTGATTCTATGACTCTATATGGCTCAATATGTAGGAAAAAAAAAGAATGCTGAAGATCAGGACCTCAGGATACAATTCCTATATGCAGAACCAATGAGAATTAGCATTTTCTTGGTACTCAGACAATGTGCTATTACTATTACTACTTACCAGAAAAAAGTTTCTAACTTTGAAGAAATTATACCTTCCCGCCCATGGCAAGACTGCTAAAAGTCAGGAAGGTTCACTGAAAAAATTAGAAGAATCTGGAAAAATCTTCAACATGGAAAGTGATGTCACCAGCAAACAGCTCAAAGCGATGCTTATCTTTAAGATTACTAAAATAAACAAACGGTATAGTAAAGGGCATATTCTAAGCTTGACTGGCCTGTCAATGCTGTTTAATAAAAACTGAGTTGCTGCTGAAGCAAAGAACCAGCATTTGTGATTTTTATTATTGACCTGCTGCTATGGTCTTTTGCTCGAACTGTAATTAAAAATAATTTTGCCTTATCAAGTTGTTTTGTCTTCTTCAGGATGCAGGCCTTAAGGAGCTTCTTTCCAGGCCTATTACTCATAAGGCTTTATACTGCAAATAAACTAAATGTGATCTGAGCATCTCATGCAACTATGGATTGTGTTTTAAGATTAAACACAAAGGGAAATCTTTTGTGTCAGTCTATGCTTACACATAAATCCCCAAGAGCTGTAGCAATGGGCTGCTGCCATTCATCTTGCCACAAGCTCAACCTATTTTGAAGTGTGTCTTTTTTAAAATTTGGCAAGTTAAACCTTCAGTTTCCTAAAGTCTGTAATTTTATAACTACAGTACCCCAATGCCAGCAGTTCTGATGGTGACCAGAGGAGAAATATTATTTATTCCTAAAAATAGGTACTTGGGTTTGTTTTCATCATCTTCATTCTCGAACTACAGCAACCAAAAGAGATCTAGATGTGAAGCAAGCATTAAAAAGCCTCAAATTCTCCAAAACTTAGGCAAATAGAAGCTTATAATCCAAACTGATACAATCTCCAGGTAGCACACTGAGGCCCGTGGAACGTCCATTAGTCGGTACAGTTATCTCCTGATCTACTTTTGTACCTCTGTAATCTATCTAATAAATAGCATTCTGTAGAACTATCTGAAAGAAACCTAGTACTATAAATATTTTACCTTAGAGATGGATGGTTTAAATTGCTGAACAGACAGGAAGCTTCGCTATGGGACAGTCTCAGAAGATGTACAGAGTGTGCACATGTGTGTGAAAAAAAGTAAACAAGGGACAGCTTCTGCAGTATTTCGTATCACATGCAGGTTTTGAAGCACTTTACAAAAGGATACTATTACCCTAATTTTACAAAAGAAATCTTACATTAACATTTTTACACTTTACATTACATTCTTACATTATGAAGTGACTTATTCAAAGTTCAGCAAAAATTTGAATACAACCTAGGCTGCTCAAGCTGCAGTGCAGTCCTACAAACACTGCTCAGACCACACTGTCTCCTCTGCTATGCTATATTGTCCCTATAAAGCCAGTAACAGTCACTAGAGGAGAGCAGACATACCTGCATTATTCATTATAGTTAATGTCTGTCCTATGGAAATTAGCATCTGTGCTGGTTTTGCTGGGATAGAGTTAATTTTCTTTACAGTAGCTGGTAAGGGGCTACATTCTGGATTTGTGCTGAAAACAGTGTTGGTAATACAGGGATCTTCTCATTCTTGCTAAGCAGTGCTTACACAGTGAAGGCCTTCTCTGCTTCTGACCACACTCCACCAGTGAGCAGTCTGGGGGTGTACATGAAGCCAAGAGAGGACATAGCTGGGACAGCTGACACCAACTGAGCAAAGGGATATCTCATATCATATGGCATCATGCTCAGCATGGCTGGAGGAAGAAGAAGGAAGCAGAGGACATTGGGAGTAACAGTGTTTGCCTTCCCAACTCACAATTATGCTTAATGGAGCCCTGCTTTCCTGGAGATGGCTGAACACCTGCTTGCTGATGGGAAGTAGTGAATGGATTCCTTATTTTGCTTTGCTTGTGCACACAGCTTTTGCTTTACCTATTAAACTGTCTTTATCTCAACCCACAAGTTTTCTTGCTTTCACTCTCCCAATTCTCTCCCCCATCCCAACAGGGGGAGTGAGAGAGTGGCTGTGTGGTGCTTAGCTGTTGGCTGGGGTTAAACCACAACATCATGAAGAGAGTAAGCAATACCAATGATGTCAAGAGAGAGATCTGGCAAGAGTACGGAGTCTCAATGACAGTATGAAGATCTCTAAAGACAAAGTCAAAGTCACTGAATTTCTCTTCAGTTGGTATCAAAATGCAAAAGACAGAGACCTCTGATTTCAGTATCCTAAACTGTGGTAGGGGCAAGCTACATACGTCTCTAAGGTCCTCAAATGGAGACAGCTCTGCGAAAGTACCTCTACACCATTATTACAGGATAAGCATTTCACAGCTTTTTTCTAGAAAGAGAAGTCTAGTTACAACAGTCAGTGCTTATAAGCACATTTTTAGAGAAAGTCTTTAAAATGTATTTAAAATGCTGAAGTTCAAGGTGAGCATAGTTCTGAGATACAAACAAAAAAAGTTTAAGTGAATGCACTGAAAGGTAAAAATAGTATTAAAATCAGTTCTGGGCTAGAATTCCACAGCTGATCATTTCAATAGAAGGCTCTTTTATTTCCATTTAGATAATAATTTGTCTTTTAGTTGTATTACAGGAGAGTTACATTAGCACTCTTCATCTTAGTTATACAAGGACACAAGATTTATAGATGCTGTTTGCAGTTCCATCTTCTTCCTTTAAACAGAAGGAAGCAGCTGAAGAGAAGCTAAACCTACTTCATACTCTAAGCTTATTCATTTAATCCACAGATGTTTTTTTTAAGGACACTACTAACCAAAAATTGTTTTACATTCATTAATGAAGTACATAAAGGCAAATATGACATAATTTTGGAATATATATAAAAATAATCTTTTTTGGCATCTAAATGTAGGGAA